TACTCTTCCTACGTGTATTTACTTTCTTAAATATATTCTCTTTCCTTGGGTACTAACAAAATTTATGATGTAATATTTACAAAAAAAGTGGGTCATCTACCGCTGACTTACTCTACATTCGGTCCAATTTTGTCTCACGCGTTCACACTCATCGGATCCTGCTGTTTAGGCAAGAAGTTCCTCGCTGCGTATACCACCGGCTGCTATTTATCTTTCTGCACAAAGGAATCCGGGACTTGACAAAGGGTAAACACCGGACGATGGTTAATACTGTCCCTTCAAAATAATTGATTAATCCGCAAACATTCCCACTAACGAACGTCCGACGATTAGAGCCGCGTGCCGGAGTTTTAAGCCGAGCGCGCGCCATTCACGGCGAACTTTCGGGAGTTTTCAGGAATCTGAGGACCTTCCGATTGTGTAACGAGTTTTAGTATTCAGATTGTTTTCAAATTTTCCCTCGTTCTTTCGTTGGGAAAGTTCCCACCGATATTTTACCAGCGTGTTATTACATAATTTTCGTTGAGCCTCGAACGCGTTAACAAAGGTTCTGCTTTCGCGGACTTCTCGCGAACCATGCTCACCTCGCAGACTGCGGTAATCATCGTTAATAATAATTCTATGAAGTAATACAACCGGAGATTAATGTTAATTTGCTATGGGAACGAGATCGAACTATGACCAAGGAATTACTGTAATTAATTGTACTAAACAATGCAGGGATATTGTTTTGGGATGGATTAAATCTACTGCGTTCTGTTTGTACGACTGAAATTTTGATTACTACACGCATTGTCATAATACGGTAAAGAGAGAAATTGAATCGTTGTATATATGTTGGTGCTTTTTCAGAAATTAGAGATTTGCATTGTTTAGAAAGAAGTTACGAACATTTCGGGTTATTGGTTTCCTTTTCACAAAATGTATCCAACGATTAGTAACACTTTAGGGATGTAGAAAATTACAAATTTGAAATTGCTGGAATGAATAATTAATTTGGAGCAGGTATACTTAAGAAGACTTCACTAATCAGAACCGAACAGTAATCAAGGAGTCGAAGTTGAAAATTGTCATTTCAACAAAGGGACTTTTATAAATCAGAAAACTAATTTATCCTTCGCAACTGTTGAAAAAGATACCCGTTAAATACAACATATATATTATCAAAAGGACAAGTCGAATCACCAAATACAACATATATATTATCAAAAGGACAAGTCGAATCATCAAATCCAACTACAATTCAAAACGGTCAAACAAAACCAAACTTTACGATAACATGACTAAATTTAACACAACTTAACACTAAAAATCGAGTATTCAACATAATTAATATCTAATTCTTATAAAAACTGTAACAATAGAATTTCATCAGTTTTCACATATTAATTACAGCATTGAAGTGAAACCATTCATTTTCAAATCATTTCAAATATTTACCTCTTTTAATATATCAATAATTGGTAAACAAAAAAACTAAAACCTCTCATTTTGATTTTATTCTCGCCAAACAAATACTGAACGCCACAAAAGCCAAGCTCTAAACGAAGGTCCCTTATCCTTTCCTCTCTCCTAATTCATCCATCCCAAATTACACTTCTCCCCATAACCACCATCAAAAAATAACAGCGTCGATCTGAACAACCACCAATTCCCGGTTCGTTTCCCCGGGTGCCATAAAGAAGAAAAAGGGAAACTTGATTATTCGTATCTCCGGGAATCGCTATTTCCCGTCGGAAATGGGCGCGAAGAAATCGCCCTTAATGGCGGAACGGCGAGGCTCCCTTTGTAACTGGCGCGCGTAAAATGGTCACGGAACGTCCTCCTTTCAGGAGGAATCGCATCAACGGAACCGTCACGGCCAGGATCGCCGTCTCTTAATTTCGCGGGAGGAAAAATGTCCGCGCGCGGCTCGGCACGGGACCATAAAGCTTTCGCGGGGAAAATTCCCGTGGCCCTGTGGCATCATCACCCCGTCGAGGTTTTATTCGAGGCTTAAGGCCAATCTCACGTGGTCCGCCGTTCTCATGATTCTTCATCCCGGTGTTCCCGCTCTAGGATGAAGTTTCGTTGGCCGGCGGAGTTTCACCTCGAACGAACGCCGGAACCGGAAGACGGAGAACGCCGAAACGACGGATGGGGGCGGAGGGAGAGGCAGATGAAGGAGCATCCTCGGCGAAGTAAGCCGGAGGTTAATGTATTCTATCTACGAATAATGATTGGGCCAGGCGTGAATTGTAAATCGAACAAAGGGGACGATTTTGTGGACGAACTGGCGGAGGTTAGTGTTCGTCGATAGAAGAGATAGGGAAATTGTCATTATAACTTGAATGCGTATCTTTATGCGAAATTCGGGATTTTTTCGGGAGATGGTTGGAAATGTGGAATTATGAGTGGTTATTTGTACTGCATGCTGTAAAGTGCACCATACTTTGAATATTTCACGTTTTGGGTGTTTCGCACTTTAGATATTTCGCATTTCAAATATTCCATATTTTAGATATTTTGATATAGTTTTGTATTCTGCGCAATTTTTCACTTTTTCATAAATGCAAAAATATCGATTTAATTATAACTATGTGGGTGTTTTCATTGTCGATAGGATTACTACAACTGTACAGAAAATAAAGATTGAATAAGTGTGACTTGGAAAATAAAGAATTTTATGATATGTAGAAAGATGAATGGAAATATGAAATAGAACTTTCTATGATAAATAGAAATTCTGTAGTTACAGGTGAATTGAAGTTACAAATTGAACGGATGCACGTGTATCTAACCAGTTAATGAACGTGAATGAACAGTGAATTCATACGAACTGTAAATTAACAAACTTCCTAAAGCAAACATAATATAACCTCTCAAAGTCAAATACAAATTTCATAATTCCATTAGAATCTATTCCAAAAACACGGAATATTCCTTTCTAATTAACCCCATCGCCTACAATATCGTGTCAGACTCATGACGAAAAATTCAAACTAATTTTGAGAAATCTAAGTGTTATTTATACTTTCTACATACAAATTCAATATTACTTTCCTATTATTAATCATCATCGTTTAAAGTAAACGTAGACATAGAATAAGCATAAGAATTGTGCGTTCTCATAATAAATTATTAACGATAAAGCAGTTGCATCGATTGTAGCTAAGAAATAAATGATATGGCAAGGATTTAATAATATTCTTTTAAACGCAGTGAGTGCGTTGAACTTTCCAAAGTATCGTTCCTCTATCGGACACTGGACGCAGTCTGTAACAACTGCGATTGTCTCGAGGAAGAAATAATATTTACAGTCAATTCGAGAGCCGACGAAAGCGCGATTAGTAATCGCATCATGCCGGCTGGACGACGATTTCTGATTTTCTGCCGTCAAGAGATAGTAACTAATGAACGCCCCGAGCAATCGGTCTTTTTCAGCCGCGAAGTCGATACTGGGTCGTCGCGAATCTAGCATCCGGCGTGCGATCTGAGAGAAACGAACAAGAGAAAAACAGTTTCATTTTTAACCCGTTTACTTCAACACTGCTCTATAACACGGACGGCGACACGACGCAGCGGAAGCTTTCAGATATCCTTTAAGCTGGCCGTCATCGAAGCGAAGATTATTTGCCGCTTCTAAAAAGCGTGCCTGTACACTTCGCCGTGTTGTACTTAGATAAAACCGTCGGTATTTGCGAACATTAAAATATGACAAGGAAAATATCGGAGGTCCACAATATAAACGACTGTTTATCCAAGGGAAATATAAATACGTTTTCCACCGAAATGATTCGTAATATTTATCGGAAGGGCTGTTGAATATATCGAGTGTTCCAAAACACGTGGTATTTATTCAACATAGAATAAGGAATAACGGTAAAGTCTTGGTGGTTTGATTAATAATTCTAGTTTTACCAATCATCTGATCAAATGCTTATATTAGATATATAATATTTTGTATTAATTATTTCATACATTGATCAAATGCTTATATTACTTACTTAAAGCTTATTTAATGCTTATAAAACACTAACTCAATTTTAGGTAACGTAACTCTTTACATAGATTTGAACATTGATTTTCTAAGTAACATAACGAACAAACCGAATTTTCTTGTATCGAATAATCTACAATTTTTCAGTTGCGATCGTACGAGTTGTAGGGTGAATGCCGATGTGACGGTCAACGCGTTAATCAGTGAAAGGACTGTTTTAACCCAATTTAAGTACCGAAATTGGTATATCCATCGAAAAATTACTTACTAAATAATGTTCCACCGGCTAGCTTAACATCCCACGTTCAGACTGCAGTTGTTCAACTTCCGTGGACTATTTCTTAAGTTATTAAAAACACGGCGACGGCAAAATGTACGACGAGAAGACGTAGAAGTAAAAAGTTTTATAATAAGAAAAGGGAAGTCGCGTTCTTTGAAATTTTCAACTTTTCTCCCGACGGCGAAGTCCCCAACTTTTCTAGTTATTAAACTGCTGTAATGAATATATTACAATCCTCGGAATGTAGTGTCGAATTCTCTGAGATAATAAGGCACATCGCGCGATTTCATTGATCTCAGCCTGAAAATGGATTTGTTTGCTTCAAACGAAGAAAATCTTAGTTTCAAATTAATTATGTTTTATCCCGATTAAATAAACAGGAAACGGACCAAGTGCAGAAATATGAAAATTACAAAATATGTAGGTTACAAAAATATAGACAATAAAATTCATGGCTTTTATTTTATCATATTTCACTACGTTTTTCTTTCATAGGAATTGGTTCGTTTTACCAATAATATAACGAGGCAGAATATCAAATGTACTCGTGAAAACAAAAGAATGTACAGAATGTAGAGATCCCGGAAGAAATTAATAAATATTGTATTCACCTCAATAGAATTAAATATTATATGCACCTCTTCATATCTTTAATGAAATTATACTTTTTATTGAAAAAGGAAAGCTTAAATGAAAAATAGGATTATAAGAATTTTTTATTCTATGATATAATCAACGTACCGATTACGCAAATTATCCGCAACCGCTTGAAGTTTGTAATCAATAACCAGATTCTTCAATCAGAAACTGAAAGAGAAAAAAAACACGATTATTTCAATTAAAACGAGGAATTTGGTTGCATTAGCTACTAAAAACAAAAGATCAGATATATTATGAGTCCTCCGGGCGAAATAATTGGACAATACACCACGAATGGATTCCTGTGAATATTCTGAATAATTTCAAGCGTATCTTTCTTGCACAGTTCAAGGATAAATTTTTCTTTGCTAAAAACTTTTGTGAGGAAAAGTTAATATTTTTCCAGCTCTGTGGATTACACTTTTATTGCATTACTATCGAAATGCAAGTTATAAGATTAAGGCATTTTTCTGTAAAAATCATGGTCTATTCTGTTATTCATAAGTAATCAATTATCAAATTCAATACACAATACACTATGAAACATTATTATTAAGAAATTAACATATACACTTAAGAATTTAAAGATCACCACGTATTTTTGATTATAACTATGCAAAGTAGCAAATGCGTGCATATTCTATCTAAGCCCCTCCCATATAGCATATGAAAGCATATAAGTACATATATCCTGCTCATCAGTAAGCGGTAACTTTCTCAAGGTAATATTAAGTTAGATGACGAACTTAGATAATGCAAAACGACGTAGGCGTTAGTCTTCCAGTATCTCTTAATTATTTGGTTGCAATTCCCTGATAAATGAACCTTCTGCATATATACACTCCTACTCAAAAGTCATAGAACAGTCACTCGTTTCGGCACATTTTTAATCAAATAATTGTAATTTTTAAACATTAAAATATATATAATATAAAAATACTATAGAAGTGAAATTACTGAAATTAATGAATTTAATGAAATTATAGACTTACGAACGTCTAATGAAAGTTTACGTTGAAACATCTATAATTATATAAAACATTTACAAAATATGAGCAATACATTTTTCAAATATATCAACTATAATTATTTTCAATTTTTAGGAAATTCTATTAAATATCGATACCACAAAAAAATAACGAGCTTTCCATTGAAAACACTGTAGTGCCAATGATACAAATTTATAATAAATTTATAATATCCCAAAGTAAAATGTATACGAATAAGATATAAGTGAATTTGATACCTGTTAACTGTTATAATACTGTATACCCCATAAACTGTTGCGAAAATGATTAAAAGCTCTTGTTAGACATACCCTACAATACCTCTCAAAAGGTTAACACCTGCATGATTCTCTGATGTCACAAAAAAAGAAAACGAAGCGAATCGCGTACCGTACGATCGAAAGCAGAGTTATCGAACTCGCTGCTTCCTCTCATCCAGTTACGTGAAAAAACTGTACGGCATCGAGACACGAGTACCTCTAACGATTAACAACGTGAGTGCAATTTGGGTAAGAGCGGAAATGTAGCCGGCACGTGTCTAAAATATAGCAAAAACCGAACGCCGAATATTCTACGTCGGCAAAACGATATTGAACGGCCATCCGGGAAGCACCTCAAATATCCGAGCCACATTTCCATATGTATTATGTAGATCAGTATGCGGGGAATCCCACCCCTGCGTATACTGTGAATTTCTCACCATCTTCTGGCCGTGTATGAGGCTAAGAGATGACACTTGATATCCGTGTATCCTTTTACTCCGATTCTGACATTTTACGTGGGAAGATGTACGATGGCGGGAAAATATGCTACAACCACCGTGAATCCCACGAAAATAATTATTCCGTGTTTATTTCGTGCTTATTTTTATGCAGAAAAAGTTATTTGGGTACTTGCATATTGTACGGACTACCTTCCTTTCATAACTGAGGATTGTGCTGGTCGGTTATTTAGGTTAACTCAGTGTTGGTATTTATTTTAAAATAGAACATGTTATGAATATTGTGTTATTGTTGTTGTTGTTGTTGTTGTTGTTGTTGTTGTTGTTGTTGTTGTTGTTGGTATCCCTATTATTATTAATATTCTATTTTTTACAAACAAAAGTGGTCCGTACAATACGTAAGTACCATTATGATTGTGTCGTAACGGGGTATAGTTAACAATTCAGTCTCTATATCCTTAATGGAAACCAAAAAACAAAATAAGACTTTCTTATATGAACAGCCACATTCATCAAAGTTACAAATTTCCATAACAAGCCTCCATAACAAGCCAATTATCATATACTCCGTTAAATACAATTATTTACATTCTTCGCCTCAATAAAAAAGAGTGACCGCCGACATCCAATTTACCTAATTATAATTAAATGTTCAATACCGATAACAAGATGTCATGCATAAAAGGGTATTAATTACAATTCAATACCGATTCACTGGGAACCGAGCAATCAATGACTCCGCAAGTGAAGCTCATTAACACCTTGGCATACTATTTACTTTCGCTACTAAGCTCGTGTAATATTTTACTATCGACAATTTGGAAGAAATACAACAAAATTTTCCATTCTACTTCAAGTGGAAATTTCATTTGAAAATGATACATTGATAGTAGCAAAATAGTTGTGTGCTTTGATCCGTGGGTAATGAACAACATTGATTGTTGTTAAATTAATCTAGAAATCTTCATCGCGAGTCTCGCTCGTCATTGTCCGGCAAAGAGTTAAGGATGGCAGCTAATTGTCCCGTATAGAAAATAAGAGAGTGCGCAGGAAACAAAGAGGGAAACGAGGTAGAAAATAGTTCGCGTAAACCAAACAATCCCTCAGGATCGTTTTACGATACTGATCAATCGTTGTCCCGCGTAACACAAAACACCGAAAACAAGCCGGGAGATCGATCAACGACGGTGACGAGAACAAAGATGAGAGGAGGGTTGAAGAATATTCCGGAGGACGCGCGAGGGTTGAACCCGGTGCCTCAGAGCGGATGTCGTTAATGTTAATAAACGAGATTTCGTTGTGATATTCAAGTTTCGTAATTACACGATAATTGCCGTCCGTGCATCGGGGCTACGCGACCAGGATATCCCGGCCCGGTTCACCTGGATAGAACTCCCCTTATTATATCAAGGATTAATTTCCTTGTAAGAATAACTGGAGCGCGGAAGATGTTTAACGGCACTTACGGCGTACGCAAAACCGCTTCGACCGCCTGTTTCCTTAGTTTTTAGTGACGCATTAATCTGGTGGAATTGGGTCACGGTTTACATAGTTACGGGAAAGATTAGTCACACGGCGCCGCTTACGTTAGCGTTTTCAATGGAGATTACCCGACGGTCCCGGGGGATTTTAACAGTTTCTGTCGAAAATCTGGTCTGATTAAAAAAGGAATTTACGGTGGGATGTGCCGGTTTCGCGATGGGTGTTTGGTTATTTACTCGAGTCTCGTAAATCTGTTTTATTCTTGAACTGTACTGATATTTAAAGAAGACGTATTTAACAAGACTGCTGTCGGTAATTAACAAGTTCCAACTGTATTTGATTCTTTTAATAACGGGTCTCTAAATTCTTATTCTATATAATATTAGCATCTAAATCAATGATCAAACAACCGAATTACACGATTCCCCGTAATCAAACATTTGAATAATCCATTGCAAATCATATATTTTGTAAACTATCAGCAAATCCAAGCCATAATAACATCCCTTTTCATAATATCCCTGACAGGAATGAAAAAATATTATATTATAACATTTCTCAGATTTTTTAGTTTCTTTCTTAGCACAAGATCTGCACATGCAGCAAATGCAATAATCTTAAAGTGGTTTCTTCAACTTTATTCATTGCAATATATAATACTATAAACAGCGCCTAAAGGTAGTGACGCCTACAGAGTACAAAGGGTTAAACATCGCGGAATTTAAGAGAGAGAGGCAAAGCTCAGTGCTCGACACGGATCGGACTTTAAGTTTCTACCGGGTGTGGTCGTGCAACATCCGAATCCGGCTGATACGTCGAGCACAGGCCAGATGCGGCACGATGCAATTCACCAGCTGGTGCATTACTGTCGACCTATCGTTCGATACAAGATCACCCTCACTCTCTCCCTCCACCTCTCCACGTTGCCCTCTTTACATTTATGAGCCGTTGTACGCGGAGAACACTGGCCCGCCGGAAAAAGCTTATATTGATGAATCAACGTCGCGTAGGATCTAACGGAAAAGAGGGAGACAGTATCTGATTTACTGGACCATAAATTATCTTTAATCTGTAGCAGGCCCGGCGCATCCTTCCACCTCTCGCTACGTCGTACGTATAGTATACTTTTTCACTTTTCCACCACGGAATCACGTCGGCGTTGCTCCTCGTTCCCCTTTAACCGGTACCGGCTTCCTTCCGTTCGCCATTTCTCATCCGTTTTGGCGGGAAAAGAGCACTAAATTCCGCATCGGCGAGCGGTGAATTGAGAAAAATCAGAACCGGCTACTAGCGTTGTCGTCGGAACTCTGTTCTCTGAAGGGACGAGGATTTTCAACGAGAATTAAAATGAATATGTAATCTTTGTTATTGTACAGACGCTGTTCATTCGTCGAATGATAGAAGACTATATTCTTTTCCGTGGCGAACTGAGAAGAACCGAGACGAGGATCGTTAATGAAAATTAGAATGAATATGGTATTTTTATGATTATATGAATATTCTCCTTTGACTGGATGAAAAGGGACTATATTCTTTACTACAGTTAAGATGATTTGGTAAAGTATTATCGTGTGTAAATGTAAATAATAGAATAACACGGATAATTCATTTTATGATAAAAATTCTAAAACATTGGTAAAGTGAAAATTACAATGTCTTAAATTCGTTTACGTTATTAATTTATCGATTAATTTAGTTATGATTATAGGGAACTTCATTATGAATCAAATGAGACTGCGATCAGTAAAATTGGTACATTACTCTTTGAGAAATTCTAATCTCCAGTTTGACAAACGCAGGCATTCAAAAAACGAATTCACAAACTACGTTGCAATTTTCACTGTGGCGATTAATATTTCTATCCAAAACAGTTCATCTGCGATTTCTTCTAACAATGATAATTCCTCTTTTCCTTCGAAGAGTTACTGATGTTCAAGATTTTGTTCTTTTTCGACGT